CAAATGAGGAAACTGAGGCCCAGGAGGAATTGTCAGTGTCCACTCCTCAGTATCTAAGCACAGAGAGATGGGACCAGGCTATGGGCTCTCATCCTCCCCGGCTCATCCGGGGAACCCAGGAAGCCTCTGAACCATAGTCTATCCCCTCTTGCTTGAACTGGCAATTTGGTCCCAGGAACCCCTGGATCCCTTAAAATCTTAGGTTAAAAGGTGCCATTGTCTCTGTGGAGCGTGGCAGAAGTCACCCAGATGTGATGAGACTTTAGGCTGCAAGCTTCTCTGTGATGAGACCTAAAGCCACCAAGCCCTGGAGAGCAGCCCAAAGGTGTGGGCAAAGCTCGCTGCATGTGGAGAGGAGCCTGGAGGGCCCGAAGGGAGGAAGGGAGAGAGTTCCTGGGGCAGAACGGGGATGGCCCGCGGGCTCTGAGGGCCTCCTCTTCATGTCCTAACTTCTCTGCTCCATACTCCGCTGAGAGCAAACTGGTGCCCTATGAGCCAGGACAGACACAGCTCTCAAAGTGGGATACTATTTGACTGTCATGGTGTTTTAAAAAATCTGAAAGTCTCCCAACGTTTGAAAAGTGTGAGGTTTTACACAAAACACCAGCCTTCTACCCCCTCTTGAAGAACCAGAAGCTCTGGCCACACCTGGCCCATCTTCTCACTTGACAGCCAGGGGAGATGTTAAGTGGCTGTAGCAGCTTCTGATGGTACCAAGCTCCGGAGCAGCAGTCCCCACAGCCCCAAACCCGGCCCTGCCTTGCCTCACCTGCCTGGCTCTGGGGACATCTGAGTTCCAATCCTGGAGGCCCAATTTGATTCTGTAACCTTTCCCTTCTATCCCTGCCCTGCCCAGTCCTGCAAGGCCCTAAAGCAGGGGACCCAGCCTGATGTTAGCAAGGTGGAAGAACTTGGGGGCATTAGGCTAGAAATACAGGGGGTCTCCTTCAGACCTGTCTTTGTGGACAGCTGTTTCCTTTGACCTAGTTTGGCTAAGAATATCTGAATGTCTCTCTGAATCTATCTGCATCAGTCTCCTGGGTCTTCTCCACTGTCTGGTAGGGGCATATGGGCATGTATCAAAACCCATTTTCTCTGCCCTGGGGAGCCTGCCAGTTCCTAGGTACCTCATGAGGCAGCAGCCTTTAGCCAAAAGGGCAAGTGAGAGATGTGGCAAGGCTGCTCCCTCCCCACATGGCCCTATGGGAAAGCCCACCTCCCCTCCACACCACCAGGACCACTGCCTGATGGGAGAAGCATCAAACCCCACTCTATCCTCTGCCCCAGCCTCCTAGGAAAAGGCCCTGTAACAGATCCAGAGGAGACACTTTGACTTCATCGTGAGCTGAGAGGCTGGCGCAGCAACGAAAAAGACAAGAAATGAGGAGTAAAGGGGGGAGGGAGGTGGAAAAATTAAATTTTGCGTGATCAGCAAGGTTTCAAACAATCGCTCGCCAACTGAAGTGGGTGCCACGTCTATAAGTCATTCTGTTTTATAGACCATTAGGATCTCCAGAGAGAACCTGCATGGAGACCACTGCTTTTTGTTGAAATTAAAATGTCAGAGAAAAAGAAATAGAACAAAACAGGGAATCTGCAATTAATTACCAGGCCATAAAAATTCAATAATCAGGAGGCAGAGCGGCCGCAGGCCCAGAGGTATCAGAGCCAGCGTAACAAGAATGGAATACATTAATCTTTTCAAATTAGTTTTTTAATCTGACGGGGATATATGGTGACATGCCTCCCCTCCCCTCCTGCTCCCCCCACCTCCACAGCTCCGGCCTGAAGCCAGGCTCCGGGAGGAAGGTTCTGGTGTGAGCTGGGAGCCTGCAAGCCACCCAGACCCCCAGACAGGGCAGAGAGGGCCCCAGCTGAGCCCAGGCCCCGTGCCAGCTCGCCAGGTGGAAGAGCCCCAGAGGTGCCAGAGAAGCCTATTCCCACTGGGTCCCAGGGCCAGAGGAGCTGGACATACATTGGGCCCGAGTTTAGAAAGCAAGAGAGAATCTGGGCATGACTTACAGAGGGGCTGAGCTTTAAGTCTCCATTCCTTCTCTGGAATGATATCCCTGCCCCACAAGATGAGGGTGAATTGTGCCCGGTATCCAGCAGGCGCTCAGCAAAGAATCCCTACTGCTATTTTAACTGCTGTCAGCTCTGGCAACATGGAGCAGGGAGCACCATCAGGTTGCTATTCAGAGAGCATCTATTTAGCGCCTTCCCTGTTCTCAGGCCTGAGGCAAACAGTCCTCACCTGGGTAATGGGATTCGCAGTAAGGTCAAAGGAACCAGCTGGGCGTGGTGGCACACACTTGTAATCTCAGCGACTCTGGAGGCTGAGGCAGGAGAATCGTAATTGGAGGCCAGATTAGGCAATTTAGTGAGTCCCTCGGCAATTTAGAGAGACCCTGTATAAAAAAAATAAATATATAAAAATAAAAATGTCCTGGGGGTTGGGAGGGGAGCGGAGGAGGGATAGTAGAGGATAGGAAAGGTAGCAAAATACAACAGTCACCAAAATGGCATTATGTAAAAATGTGGATGTGTAACCGATGTGATTCTGCAATCTGTATTTGGGGTAAAAATGGGAGTTCATAACCCACTTGAATCTAATGTATGAAATATGATATATCAAGAGCTTTGTAATGTTTTGAACAATCAATAAAAAAAATGTCCTGGGGGATGAGCTCAGTAGTAAAGGGACTCTGGGTTCAATTCCTGTACCAAAATAATAATAATTATTTTTTTTTTTTAATTGGCAGGGTCAACCAGGGCCAATAAGCAGAGAACAAGGAGTTTATTTCTGGAGCAGATCCACAGGCCTGGAGACTGGTGGCTGGAGGTGCTGGGGAAGGCGTCTGGGGCTGCTGCAAGCCCACCAGCCCCTGGGGAGAACAAGCTCCTCCCCTGGCCCGCAGGCGAGTCCGGGGGCAGCTGTTGATTGGTCAGAGCCAGCCCCACCCTGTTTCTCATTGGACGCCAGGCTCTCGGCTCCCAGGGCTCCACCCCAAACCTTCAGCGGGTGAGCCCTAGTCTCTGCTAGGCCCAGGATCAGATTCGGATCAAACTGGTGTGCAAGTTTCTGACCTTCCGCCCCAGCCAAGCTGCACTCTCACGGACCCCACCACCCAACCCATCCGTTAGCCCCCGGTGCAACTCAATACCTGGTCAGGTGGTGTTCTTCAGTGGGCTCCAAAAACAATCACCCCAGGGACTTCTGCAGAGCAGCTCCAGGACGGCCCTCTTCCCTTGGGGCTTTGACGCTTTTAAACATAACATCTAAAACTAAGTGCCAGGGCCTGTGTAAATCCTTCAGTTGGGTTTTCTCATTGATTGAACTCCCGAGAGGTGGGGACTATTAATAAGTCCACTTTACACAAGGCAATAGTGAAGCGTTCTGCCAATCTTGTTGTCTCAACACCAGCGTCACTAAGAATACAAACCATGCGTGGTGGTGCGTGCTTGCCGACCCCAGCTACTGGGGAGGCTGCGGCAGGAGGATCACCAAGTTTGAGGCCCGTGATGCAACTAAGCAACTGTCTCCAGAAAAAAAGAGAAAGGCTAAAAAAAATGCTGGGCTTTTAGTTCACTGGTAGCGCACTGCCACAGTCTGGCTGGGCACAAAATAACCGAGCAGCCAGGAGGCACTTGTAGGTTCAAACAGGAACTACTTTATTGCCAGAACCCCAGGGAACACTCCAGAATTCCTCCAAAAACCCACGAGAACAAACGGGAACTCCGCTAGAACTCAAAAGTAGTGGGCACTGGAGGTAGCAGGAGCCGCCTCACTGCCGGTCAGCAGAGGTTTATATATACAACTGAATACACTGGCATTACTTCTCAACCACTCCTTCTGGCAAAATGCCAGGCGCCATCCCTACCTGGTTGTGGCTCTAAACAGAGCACTTGCCTTATGTGTGAGAGGAGGGCACTGGATTCATTCTCCAGCACTCAAAAAGAAAAATACAGCCCAGGCGTGGTGGCTCACACCAGTAATCTCAGCATTCGGGAAGGTCAGACAGAGGATTGCAAGTTCAAAGCCAGCCTCAGCTATGGTGGACCCTGTCTCTAATAAAATACAAAATAGGGCTGGGGATGTGGCTCACTGGTCCAGCGCCTCTGAGTTCAATCCCAGACACAGGACGGAAGGAAGGACGGAAGGAAGGAAGGAAGGAAGGAAGGAAGGAAGGAAGGAAGGAAGGAAGGAAGGCCAGTACTGTGCCTTTCACCTTCCCCAGAGTTTGGCCTATAGTAGGTTTTCAATCCATCAATCAATGGTCAGTGAATATCGTTCCAGCAGAACAACCCAGCAAGGGACCTCACTTACCATTCAGTCACTGTCTCCCCAAAATCTTTACTCCAGTGATCATAACAGCAGCTGCTATTTATTGAGCACGTACTGTGTGTCAAGCTTTGGAATCTGGTGACTTTTACAGTAAGATTGTGGTTTGTCATTTTACAGAAACAGACTCAGAGATTAACAGGCCAAAGATCACACACTCATGTGTGGCACCCAAGGACAGGATTCCAACCACTAAGGGTATTGTCTCAGCACTCCATTAGCCACCCACCCCCAACGCCACCACCACCGTATTTCCTAACCAGATCCTTCTTTCCTTTAACTTCTTCCTTTCAACACCTCCACCAGGAGGTCCAGTTTCTTTCTGGGGCTTCTTTATTTGTATCACTTGTATTTGTTACACTTTAGTTACAGTTGCACTACACACACTCACACACACACACACACACTCACATACAAACACACCGACATATGCCCTGCGGCCTCGACAGAAGCGATGGCGAGGAAAAAAGCTGAACGAGTAGGGGCATTAGACGTTAGATCTGTGCTCCGGAAGCAAGGCGTCTGGACCACCAAATCCGGTACTTCAGACCCTAGATGCGAGTCCTACTCTCGGCCCCGGCGCAGTTCCACATGAGGCCACCAGATGGTGCCTGCCCGTCTTGAGCGGAGCTTGTAGTTAAGCTATGTAGCCGCCAGGTGGTGCCCGAGGCCACGCTCCGAGGACAAGGCAGGGACAAGGTGGAGCCCAGTCGGCCCCCGCGTCAGAGTCTGGCCTTGGTGGCTCCAGCGCACGTGATCTGCCGCTGTCTCCCACCCGCGCCATGACCCAGCCTGTACCCCGGCTCTCTTTGCCCGCCACGCTGGCCCTGGGCTCGGCCGCGCTGGGCGCCGCTTTCGCTACTGGCCTCTTCCTGGGTGAGCTGGGTCGGGCTGCTGCAGCCCCTGCAGAGCCCAGCGGGCGGGCGGGCGAGCGGACCGACGCACCCGGAGCAAAAGCGAGGAGCAAAGCCCGCGATTCCGCGCAGAAGGCCGCGGCTCAGGTTGCCCACTGGTGACCCAGAGCCCCAAGCCCTGATCCTCCCTCTCTCTGGCAGGGAGACGGTGGCCCTCGTGGCGATTCCGGCGACAGCGGCACCTGCTTCCCCCAGAAGACAGTCCCCTGTGGCAGTATCTGCTGAGCCGCTCAATACGGGAGCACCCAGCACTACGGAGCCTTCGGCTGGTCAGTAGTGACGGGAAGGAGAAAGGGCATCCATCCCGGGCTTGGTGGGTCCCACGTGGCTCTGTGACCTTGGGCTGGGCGGTGGCTCTCTCTGGGCTTCCGGGTACACTCCACCCCTTCCCTCTGGCCCACGCCCACTGCTGCGCCCGCGGCCCCGGGAACTGAGGCGAGGGCAGGTGACTGGCAGGCATGGTGTCACTCTTTCCCCAAACACAGCTGACTCTGGAGCAGCCGCATGGAGATTACATGATGACCTGTGAACAGGCGCAGCTTCTGGCCAACCTGGCACGACTCATCAAGGCCAAGAAGGCGCTGGACCTGGGTAGGGGTGCCAGGCCCAGATCACTGGGGGCCGACGTCACTGGGCTGTCCCCCACCCTGGGCTGAGCTTGTTCATGTCCACATCCCCAGGCACTTTCACTGGCTACTCTGCCCTGGCACTGGCCCTGGCGCTGCCCCCCGCCGGGCGTGTAGTGACCTGCGAGGTGGACGCAGGGCCCCCGGAGCTGGGGCGGCCCCTGTGGAGGAAGGTGAGTGTCCCATACACCTGAAGCCCGTCAGTTCCGGGCGAGGGAGCATGCTGGCTCTGACCTCACCTCTTCCGCAGGCTGAGATGGATCACAAAATCGACCTTCGGCTGAAGCCAGCCCTGGAGACCTTGGGTGAGTCTCGGAGCAGGAAAAGGCCTTTCCATTTAGGAAATGGAGCCACCGAGTGAAAGCTAGTGGCCAGGCCTGCCCAGCGGGCTGAGGGCACTGACATCCCCTCCCTTCGCCAGGCCTCATGGTATTTTGCCACATGCGGTTAACAGGGTCGGTGTCCCTGCGTGGCTGGGCCCAGCCTATCACAACACCTGGCCTGGTTTGGGCAGGGACTTCCGGCCACCTGGACCTGAGACTCAGGTGCCATCTGCCCCTCTTTTCCTGCTAGACGAGCTCCTGGCGGCAGGAGAGGCCAGCACCTTCGACGTGGCCGTGGTGGACGCGGACAAAGAGAACTGCACAGCCTACTATGAGCGATGTCTGCAGCTGCTGCGCCCCGGAGGCATGCTCGCCATCCCTAGAGTAAGGGCTAGACCCGGGTGAAAAGCAAATCCCCTCTCTAGGCTGCCACTTCCCATGGCTCCTGCCTGTGCCTAAAACACCTTCAAAGTACACTGCAGGTTCCTCCCCTCTCCCCTCAGCCGGGTCCATAGGCACTCCCCTACAGGAGTTCTGAGTCTCCAGCTCCTGCCTGCTGCTCAGCACCTCTCTGAGGTCCCGCCTCCACGGCCTGGTTGGCTCCGCCCCTCCACAGGTACTTTGGAACGGAGAGGTGCTCCAGCCTCAACAAGGGGACACCGCTGCTGAGAGTGTTCGAAACCTAAATGAGCGCATCCGGCGGGATGCCAGGGTTTACATCAGCCTCCTGCCCTTAGGCGACGGCCTCACCTTGGCCTTCAAGATCTAAGCCTGGCCTTTAGCCTGTGAGCTCAGAGAGGGAACCTGGAACCAGACTTCAGTTTTAAATCCTGTAATAAAATGGGGCTGGGAATTAAGTCCTCCTGAGTTTCCTCCCTATCTGGCACTGAATGGGGGTGGGGAAGAGTTTCAGCACAAGTAGCCTCTTCAGTGAAAGGGGTCCTTGATGTCTTCAGCCCTTCACTTCTTGCAGTACAGTTTTAATTGGCTACATGTAGTGGCCAGAGGTCCCAATAACTTAAGCTTGCCTCCCCCTAACAGGATCTGAGGGCTAGATTCAAAATGCATCCCCTCTTGGTCCCATTTCTATGTCTCCATTAGGGACAGGTGAAATTCCTGGCACAGTGCAGCTGGGACTGGTGGGGAGACCTCATCTGGGATCTGTCAGTGTGAAAGGACTTGCAGGGGACCAGCACTGCCACAGGTATTTCTATAAGTTATGCTAGTTCTGTCAGCCATTTGTCCACTTTTTCAGAGAAATATCAGCTCCCCTGCCTTACCTCTGAGAACCTCCAGTTTGGCTTGAATATATACCCTTATGTTCCCCTTACGTCCTGAAGATGAGGGGACTGCTATCCAAGATGTGAAGCAACAAGCCTGACGGTAGCAGACCTTCAGTATGACAATTTTAAACACATTTCCTAGACAAAGAGAACTTTAGGTTTTCCAAAGAGAACTGCTGGTTTAAAAGAGAGGAAAAGGCAGTTAGGCTTTAGGGACCTTCAAGCCAGATTCTTTGCTTCATTCAAATATCCCCAACCCACAGGAAGATCTTGTCTCTAAGACACAAATGAAAGTCTGGTTCTTTCCAATAACTTCAAGGCCTCAGGCAAAAGGGCACTTACAATAGGCTTTTTGCTGCCACCTGTTAAGACCTGGTGGTGGAATTGCACCTGAAGACTACTAGAAGAAGTTATAGGAGCTGCATGAACCTGCAGATTTTCATAATCTTGATGCTCCAAGGATTTACCTGGCATTCTCCACAATCCTCAGGGTCCTAGATATTACAACTACTCTATTCTCTCTAACTCATAAAAGCTTACTAGGATGCACACAGGTGATCGAGTAACTCAAACCTGTGTGCACTACAGTCCAGATTACTGAACCAGATGAACTTCAACTGCAGCAGAAAGTACAATGATTAGCTGAGGAGCAAAAGGTCATTTAGAAAACCAGATTTCCTCCCTGCAGGTCTAGCTTGCACCCCAAGTACAAGAGTTGTTTTCATACCTAGCATGTAGGGACATCTTTTCATTTTCTTATCTAGCAATAGGTCTAACTCAAATTGCAACCTCCAACCTGCTTCCATGCCCATAGGAGGCAGCATGTGTCTGGGGAGACAGCCTTTTGGAGAATCCATCCCTATTTACATGGGCCACTCCGGTGAATTCCTTAGGAAAAACAAGTGCAACCTATTTTATCAGCTTTTTCACTGTTGTGACCAAAAGACCTGACAAGAACAATTAGAAGAGAAAAAGTTTATTTGGGGGTTCACAGTTTCAGAGGTCTTAAGTCACAGATGGCTAACTCCATTCTTTGGGGTCTAAAGTGAGACAAAACATCATGGCCGAAGTGTGTAGGAAAGGAAAACATCTAGGAACATCACACTAGGAAGCAGAGAAAGCACCCCTCACCACAAAAAAATATAAGCCCCAAAGGTATGCCCCACCTTCTCCAGCTATACCCTACTGGCTATCAAGTTACTAGTCGATGCCTAGCATGGGATTCACTGAATTGGTTAAACCTTTCATAACCCAATCATTTCACCTCTAAACTTTCCTGCATTGTCTCACTTACGAGCTTTTGGGGGACACCTCATATCTAAACCATAACAGACCAAAAAAGGCCTCTTGTCCCTCTTAGTCTCTGTATGAAGAGCTTGCTTGAATTCTATTCTCATCAGATTCTGTCCAACCTGGAAGTTTTTAGCACGTCATCATTTCTTCAATGATGAGTCCCAAAGTACTCCATTGTCTTAATCTGTTCTCTCAAGCTGCAAACTGAGCTTTAGGTTTTATACTTCAGATGTGTTCAACAAATTTCCCCTTCTCTTTGGCTTTATCCTTCAAACTAGCTCCTCCTATCACAAAACTTGTTCTTTAGACTTTTCCAACCAGAATCACCCATTAACATCAATCATTCATGCCCACATGAAGGCCAAGAGGATTGCCGTTGATCTCACAGGTTAACCCAGCTTTCCAGTCAATGTCGGCCTGGGTGGAAAAGAGTGATGTGATGACTTTCCACTAGGACCCATATTTCCTTTCTCAGACCCTATGGTTATCAATGCTGTCTACACTTTACCTTCCCTCCCAACCCACTGATTTAGGGGTACAGCACTGGTCACCAGATAACCAGTTTCACTAGAAACCAACTAACAAGTAACTGTTTGAAGATTTTAAATACAATTCTTGTTTAGATCATCCTTGATCACCTTCTTGTGGGGGAAAAAGCCTGCAGGTCACAACGGAAATATACTGAGGTCAAATCTTCTGATTCCCAGGGGTTTCTTTCAGGTGAATTAAGCTTCCAATTCTGGGACAAGCCCAAACAATAGCTCACAGGGGCACTGGTGTGCATATATAATCTTCCAGCCCGATCCCTACATTGTCCTATCCTCGTCACTTTCTCCCACCATTCCTGAGATTAACAATGAATCAGTGTAATTCTGTACAAACTTAGAAACTGAAGAGTATAACTGTGTATATCCTCTTATTTTATTGTAGTCTCAAAAATCTCTTGGAATTCTAGAGATACAGGACTTGTGGCACAGAGTTAAGAGCAAAATGCTCACCAGAAAAATAAAGAATCAGCTAAACATCAGGGAGATTTGACCCTAGCTGGCAAATTTTTAACTGCAAATACTTAGAGCCATTAATTATGTATACTTGTTTTATTCATAATTTGTAATGTTCTGGGATACCAAAAGTAATTCTAATGATGGTTGAATTTAACAAAAAAATCTTTACCCTCATCTTAAAACATCCACTGATCCATCTTATTCTATGGCAATATTCAATGTTAAAGGGAACATAAAAACAAACATGCACACAATTGCACAGTTTTCATAAAGGTCTATTTCATTATTGGTGGGTAGCGCATTTAACAGTTAAATACATTTAAATAATGTATAGGTGACTGCATGACTGCAGCATTGGTAACTAGATAACCAATTCAACTAAAAACCAGCTAACAAGTAACTGTCTAAATATTTAAAATACAGCTCTTGTTCAGATCATCCTTGTTTTGATCACCTTCTTGGGGGGAAAAATGCCTGCTGGTCACAATGGAAATATATTAAGGCCAAATCTGATATCCATTCCCAGAGGTTTCTTTTAGCTGGATTAAGCCTCCAATTCCAGGGCAAGCCCAAGTTTATGGCCTCCAGCATTAATGCTCTTCCCATCTACCAGAGCCGACAGTGTAAGCTTCACACCTGTAAACAAAGCAAACCACTATGAGGGGCCTGCAACAGTTCACTTTAATAACCACACAAAGCCTGGCTGTAACTTCCTCAGCCTGCAGTTGAACTACTAGTACCAGCCATCAGAGGGCGCCTGGAAGTATCCAGGTACTGTGAGAGCTGGGTTAGGTTACTATAATGCATCTTACCTTCTAGAGATAAGGTTAGCAAATTACAGACCATCAGTTCAAAAGTGTTCTAAAAAATACAATAATGCTCATACTATCTGGACCAAAATATACTGGGGAGACCGAATCATAATTGGACCCTAGAAAGGAAAAACAATAGAGACTTTTGGGGACAAGTGGGGAACCTGAACATCGTTTACATCCTAGGTAAATTATAATCTTAGATATGATGATAGTATTATAGTTATGAAGAAAAATATCTTACTCTTAGGCTATACATGTTAGGGTTGTGAATCTACATGTCTGCAAAACACTATTTAAAAGCATGTGCCAGGGCTGGGGATGTGGCTCAAGCGGTAGCACACTCGCCTGGCATGCGTGCAGCCCAGGTTTGATCCTCAGCCCCACATACAAAGATGTTGTTGTCTGCCGAAAACTAAAAAATAAATATTAAAATTCTCTCTCTCTTCTCTCTCTTTAAAAAAAAAAAAAAGCATGTGCCAAAAAAGGCGGGGGGGGATTACATGTACCATGAAAGTGATATATGACAGTAACTAGTGAATGCAAAGAAAAGATAGATGGGCATTTATTGTATCATTCTTCTGACTTTTTTTTAAACTAGTCAAAATAAATTTGGGGAGAAAAATCCTTATTGGGAGGGGGATAAAAGCTTTAGATCCTTGATAGTGAAATTTTCTAGGACTAGGGGAATCTGAGGAGCAGGCTGAAAATATAGAACTCCCCATCTCAGACTCTGCATTTAAAGAAGCCTTCCCAGGTCAATTAAGTGCATGCTCAAGTTGGAGAAGTCCTCCTATAAAAGACAGCAAGGTACAAAATCCTACGTAAAAGAGTCTACAGAGACAGAGCCAAAACAATGATTGAACTTTGACAAAATAAAAATAAATGTAAGACATCTCAGATACATGATAAAACTGAACAGGGAATGGATATTAAATAATAAGGAGTCACTGCTATCTTAAATGTGACAAAAGTATTGTGGTTTAAAGCAGGAGAATGTTATTCTAAGGAGCAAAAGAAAGGAATAATCAATCTTCTATAGGCTTTAAAGATCTGCAAATTAGAAATGAAAATTAACTTTTAAAATACTATCAGGCTCAGGGCTGACACTGTGGCTCAGTGGTAGAGTGATTGCCTAGCATGTGTGAGGCACTAAGTTAGATTCTCAGCACCACATACAAATAAATGAATAAAATAAAGGTCCACACATCTAAAAAAATATATTTAAAAAAAAATACTATCAAGCTGAGTGTGGTGGCACACAGCTGTAATTTCAGCAACACAGGAGATGAAGGCAAAGAGTCATGAGGTTTAAGGTCAGTTTTAGCAATTTAGTAAGTCCCTCAGTAACTTAACAAGACTTTTTTCAGAAAAAAAGGTAAGTGGGGAGGATGGGGAGGTGCTGAGGATGTAGCTCAGTGGTAGAGCACCTGACATGTAGGTTCAACCCCCTATACCAAAAATAACTATAAAAAAATAAAATATTGATGAAACAATCCTACTTTATCAACAATACTTACCAGGCCTCAGAGTCTGAGTGTAGCCCACTCCAATTAAACTAGAGTTGTTGACCTTTGCCTAAAATAAAATTCAAAAATAACTATAAGAAAAAACTTTACATGCAAAGACAAAGCTCCTGTATGTTTCCCTATCATGTAGGTATGAAGAGTTCAACTTGTTAATTCATGTGAGAAAATTTAACATTGTGTACTAAGCCAAATAAAACCCAGATCCACTTAATTCTTGTGCATTCGACAAATTGTGAGTTGGGCCCAACATCTTGACATCTAATAGGATGTGTCCACAGACCACGAATTGTCCATACAGTGTAAGAACCTAACTACTCTCACATAAACCATGTGGCCAATGAAGCCCACCAGGCTCACTAGAGGTGACACATACCAGTTCTGACATGTAGGGTATAAAGTTTAATTCTGTGACTTACACACACACATCACTACTTTCAGGACTCTTCCTAAAACCTTCAAATAGAAATCCTTCCTCTACTGAATCAGACCAAATAATAGCCTATTACTTCACATTCTCATCACACTTCTCTTTAAACCACTGGGTTCTAGCTGTGTTAACTCGTCTTGTGCCTGAGAGGAGGTTCCAAAAGACATCTTTTATCAATTCAGGGCCCTGCCTTCCTTGTAGAATCTTAACATTCTAGGATTTAGTCACAGACTTTCAAGGACTGGCAGGAACGCTGGAGAGCAAGATAAGGTAAAGAGAAGCTCCTTCCAGCTCTATTCTCTATTTCCATTAACAGTATCAAGCCATACCCAGAGGCCTATGGCTAAAATGGAAGCACCCTGCCTTGATCTCCAGGTCCTAAGCTGGACCTAACCAGGTAACTGTGCTCTTCAGTATACTGAATATGGTATTATAAAGGTGATTAAACAACCTGTGAGCAAAACAGATTTGGAATAATTTGCTGACTATATGCTTACAATGTGCAACATTGAAACAACACACAATCCCAGAATGAAATGATTTAAGTATACAAGTAAAAGCCACCACATAGCACTTATAATCACAACACTATAATCAAGTCTTCAAGAGCCACTACTGACCACGTGAGTTGTTTGTCTAAGGAAGACATACCCTCACTAATGACTTGCTTTTACCCACAGTCTCAGACTGTTGATATAAGTTCCTATTATTTAAAAGTAGGAATCAACCATCCAACTATGACAAGAGGGTTAAGCAATTCTTTCTAGGTGCTTCTGGACTAGAGTGACAGCGGCTCTACTTAAGTATAAAATGCTAGATGTTTCCAAACTAATTCCTAGCAGTCACTCAATGACACACAGGTCTCAGCTTTCTTCCCATTTTATACCATGAACCACTAGGAGCTTCTGTTGGCTGGCATTCAATCTATGACAGTGCCACAGTCACACAATTGAAGAGAACAGTAATGCAACTCTCAGAGAATAGTGCACTATGAAGTTTTTATTGCTACGGGGCAAATAGAAACAGTGAAGGGGGAAGAAAAGGGGGCAATCATGAACTGCAATTGATTTCCATGCAGGTCTGAGTTTGTCATAAGCCCAACTACTATGTATAACCATAAACAACTTTAAAAAAGAAGGAAGGTAGGAAGAAAGGCATGGAGGGAGGAAGGGAGGGGAAAGAAAGGGAAAAATATCTGAATCACAGTTTTGCCAATGGGAAAAACATTCTGGGTGCTTCTCATTCTCTCTGATCACAACTGGACTAAGATAAAACAAGAATGGGGCTAAAACTTAACTACCTAAATTATTAAAACATACTGTCCTTAGGAATGAAGAGCACTTTACATAACAGAAATAACTTTCATGGATGGCTTAACTTTCTTTCATTCCCAGTACATACAGTACAGGCAGTTCCTGACCTATAAGCAACTTGACACACAGGAACAGCTGCTAACCTGCCTGAAATTAAAGCCAACCCCTCTACACTCTCACAGTGCACTTTCTCCTACCTTAAACCACTGTGGACTGAAGGCATAAACAGCAGAAAAGGACAGGGATAGGGATCAACCATCCTGCTTGGCAAGAGTAAGGAAGTTCTCAAGATGCAGGACTTTTAGGGAAAGGTCTTAGGCAAAGCAAGATATGCTGCACACACTAGAGAGGACTGAAATTAAAAGTCATGTGGGTCCAAGTCCTGGCTCCTCTCCCTTTTCCACTCCACTCCCCCACAACAATAGCTTTATGTCCTTTCCCCTGTCAAGCTTCGGTTTCTTAACCTGCAAAACAGTAGTATGTGTACCAATGACCTTTCAGATCTAATCTGAAGATACTTCATAAACCATAAAAAGATAAAGTTGAAGAAATAATGCTATTATTCCAGCTAGGCACAGGGTTGCACTCCTGTAATTTCAGCAACTCGGGAAGCTAAAACAGGAGGATTGCAAGTTTGAGACTAGTCTCAGTAACTTAGTGAACCCTTGTCTTAAAATATAAAAGGGTTGGAGTATATCTTTGTGAAGAGCACCCCTAAGTTCAATTCCTAATACTGCCAAAACCAAAAAGTACTATTATTACCCAACACAAATAAGAACTACTCATGGCCCAAAATACTGGTTACCATTAGGCTTAGACAAGCCTGGGGCTCAGGGTTATTATTAAAATGAATTCAGCAGCTTTTGAGGTTAAACAAACTTGTGTGGCTTGGTTTGGAAATCAAACCTCCTAACACTGTCACCATAGAAAGATCAGCATTCCAAATTCTAATCCTAATCAATATGTAAACTGGGGATTGTTTGCATAGTAATTCAAATTTTCAACACAATTCAATATACTCAAAGACTGATTCCTACAACCCAAAACCCCATTAAGACCACAGAAGTACTCACAGAAATGGAAGCAGTGGGATCCAACTGATATTTAGCTGCAATGCCAAAACGAGTGCTGTTGGTACCTGATGTCCAAGCAAGGTTTACTGAAGTGTCAAGATCTTCACATACTTTCTGATAGATGGATCCTCCAAACTCTGTCCCATCATTGCTATAAGATATCTTAAATTAGTAAATCTGTAATAACAGACAATGTAATCATTTCTAAGGCACAGGCTGATATTGTAGGACTACATTTAAACAAAAACCATTACTAGAATTAGTGATACAGCTCAGTGGTGGAGCAATTGCCTAGCAAGTACAAGGTCCCAGAACCGCAAATAGATAGATAGATAGATAGAAAGAAAAGTAAATAGATAGATAGAAAAATAAATAGAAAGTCTTTTCCTAACCCATATCTCCAGTTCAGCGATGGGTACAATAAATCATGGTTCATTTACCCAGTGGAATTATCACACCATCCTGAACAATCATGCTTTCAAATGCATAGTTATGGGAAAACTATCTAAATGTACTAAATAAGGGGAACAGCCTTATGAATATATTTTATTTATTTATATATATAAACATATAAAAAGGCGAAATACCAAAACATTAATAAACATTTTATATCTAGCTTGTAACATTATGGAAAAATTTTCTTCTTTATGCTTTTGTTGTTTACCAATAAACTGTTTCTATAATGGAAAAAAAGTTAAGTTCTTCCCATATATCTGTCCATAGATATATCTTTCCACATATCTATCCATACATTTTAGGCAATCTTAACAAATCAATACTCTCCACATCATTTGTGATTCTATCAAATGAATGCATTGCAACAGTCTACCAATGTCTGATGATTCTTGTCAAAATATAAACACATCACTCCACTGTGGTGGCTCACGTCTATAATCCCAGAACTTGGGAGGCTGAGGCAGAAAGATCACAAATTCAAGGTCAGCCTCAGCAATTTAGCAATAACCTATCCCCCAAAAAAAAATTTTTAAGAGAGTTGGGGGTGGGGGAGGATATAGCAAAGCACCCCTGGGTTTAATCCCCAGTACCAAAAAAATATTGATATATAGATGGATAGCACATCAAACTTCTTGTGAAATGAACATTTATTCTCTCAATATCCAAGGCACATTTTTTACTCTGTGCTTCTGGCAGTCACCCTAGAAATAGACAGGACAATTTTGTTAAGAAAAACCCTTGCCAGGCACAGTGGCACATACCTGTAATCCCAGTGGCCTGGTAAGCTGAGGCAGGTTTTTGAGTTAAAAGCCAGCCTCATCAACTTAGTGAGGCCCTAAGTAATTCAGTGAGACCTTGTCTCTAAATAAAATACAAAAAAAGGCTGGGGATGTGGCTCAGTACAAAAAAAAAGAAAAAAGAAAAAAGAAAATAAAAGAAACATCTTTAGGTTGAAACTAGATTAATAAAGATGACTAGAAATGACATCAAATACCATCCTGTGAGGATCTAAATCATAATATCCTACAAAAGAAGTACTTACACATTAGTGTGTAGCTGAAAGTCCCCAGTCCTATAGCCCACTGCAAAGTTATTCCTTGTCAGCTTTGATTTGGCACTGTCAAAGGTCATCTGGTACCCAGCAAGCCAGCCCTCATAACCAAAGACAGCTGAACCATGGACTGCAGGTCCAGCAAAATCAAAGTCAACATCACAACCAAGGTTTATACACTCCCTCTTGTAAGAGGACTTGATTTTACCACTTTTCTTTCTGGAAAAGAGGGAAAAACTGACTTAAAACTGATGCCGATAACAAAAATTTACACACAACTTCTGCGGAGAGAGCACAAAATAGAGTTAAAATGCAGTGTGACTGGGAAGGAAGTAACAATACAATCGCGGGGTTAAAAACAGTTCAATGAACTAAATACAAGGGCACATGGAGTAGCCGGACTCCCACCAAAGAAGACTGCTTTGCAGAACTGACAATCATGAAAGCCTCTTAGAAACAAGTGAATTACCCAAGTTCATGCCACAATGAAGAGGCAAATGTTTGAAAGTAAGCCAATGATAACAACCACAATATTCCAAAAACAGAAACAGAGGTTAGCCATTGCCAGACAGTTTAGCTAAATGTCAACAAATGCACAACTTTCCTAAACTGACAAGAATAATACTTTTTAAATTTAATGCATATAAAAATGTCCATGCTTACCCTGTGTTTGGTGAGAAGGTAGTATCAAATGTCAGCTTTAAACCTTGACATATCTATTTTGGAAGAAACAGAACTTACATTCAGCTTTATTTCTTTTTTTTTTGTGATACAAAAACAAAAATTAATACTAAAGCACATTTCCAATATGTTACCTGGTCTTCAATTGCGATTTCTGTTCCCAGAGTGTTATCGGTGTTCCATTTTTCTGTGAAAGTCAGACCATACTCACACCATTTATATTTGGTCTCCAAGGTCCCAGTAACTTTACCAGTGTCTGTATTAGATGAACCAGATGTTGAGAATTCCTAATAAGAGAATAAATAACTTTAGGAATCCTTCTCACAAGCCTGGAAGAATTCACTACCAACCTTAGACAACACTTATAACTCTTTACATCATGCTACTCCCTAAGCATCCACTAAAAGTGACAAATTAGCCTTTAAGTAACTGATTGCCACCTTAACCTAATTACAGCTTATATTTGCAACCAATCACAAGTTAACCTGTGGCTAATTGTCATGGGAACAACAAAATGTTCACCTTTTAAAAAAACTTCAGCCACTGCAATTTTGAGATTCAAAAATTGATGGGGGAAAAAATATCTGTTTGGCATTGTCTACAATCTACCTGCTACTGAATAAAACACTGTCAGTAGGGCTCATTACAGATCTCATCACTGAAATCAGAGTTTATAACAACTGAGATTCTATTTATTATGAAATGCTTCCTGAAAATTCTGAAAGGTAAAAGCACTCCACAGCAAAGTCCATGTCATAAACAAGATATTTTTAAAAATTCTTTGATGATCATTCTTTCTGAGATAAGAGTCTTCTCCAGGTTTCATTCCTTGCCAACCACTTTACACATTCTCATTAAAAAGGGGGTGGGGAGCAGTGGTTTACAGATTTACTCTACATCTGGCTTATATTATACATAATACATACTATATTATGTATAATAGATACCAAAGAAATTATCTAACAGGGGTCAATTTGAAGTGCATTTAATCTAGTGTTTGTAGCAAACATAGGTAATTTGCCAATCTCTAAGTGCCCACCAAATGAAAACAACAGGATGATATAAAGGACCTAATCTGAAACTTAAAATCTGCTACAGATGATCGAAGTATCTAATAAAAGAGTCCAGTATAAAAGCAAGCAAATGAAATCTTCCAAGATAAAATATTAAAATGCCCTGTGAGGGTTGGATTCACAGTTTTACCTACTAATAATGGCTCTACACTCTTGTCACTAGAAAACCAAGTTTAAAGAAGACTGATCTGAAATAATAATAAATTGATCAGAAATGGTGACCGCAGCAATTTAAGAAATATCTACAATATCAATGGGGGAATACCAGTCATCCTTCACTTAGAAAACAGAACATTTATGTAACTATTGCTCTGCAGTTAAACAGATCCAAATCCCTAGGTCTTATATACAATCTCCTGAAATTAGATGGTTCCATTAACAGGAATTTCAAATCAAAGCTTGGTACTCAATCTCATACTAAAATGCACTAGCTTATTAGGAAAAAATATTTGATATAAAGTTAGAGGAGTCCTGGTATCCAGTTCTGGATGTTATTAATTAAATAAATAACTCTTGAGAAACAGTTTACTTTTTTGTGTTTTTTTAATTTTTTTTTTTTTGAGAGAGAAATTTTTTTTTAATATTTATTTTTTAGTTTTTGGCGGACACACATCTTTGTTTGTATGTGGTGCTGAGGATCAAACTCCGGCCGCACACATGCCAGGCGAGCGGGCTACCGCTTGAGCCACCTCCCCAGCCCCCAGTTTACTTTTTTGGGTCTGCTTCCTCAAACATAAATAATAAAGTCTACCCCTGGAGGATTAAACTGAACTAATATTGAAGGCTTTACACATTTTTACATACTCTACACAAAAGGAAAACATTATTAAAACAATGTATGTAAAGCATATTCATCTAATAGTTTGAATGGGGAGTGGTTATGAATAGCAATTTTTAATCTGAAGTACAATGATTAATGACTCAAGGCCCCACCCACTGCCATACATCAGTGCAAAGATGAAGCGCCAGCCTATAAACATGCTAAGGAATCCTCAAGACATAATATCAACATCACCTCATGGGAAAAGAACTGAGCCAGATGATACCAATAGTGGAGTTTATACCCTTCACTCCATCCTTACACATTTTTGCTTCTACATTGTGGAATGGCCTGAACACCTCTACTGCTGAAATGAGAAAGCAGGCCTTACTGGAACCGATTCGGGCAAGGTACGTATTACAGCATACACTACCAAGATTGTTAAATTATACACATTAAGTGTAAATAAAATCACACTTTAATTCAGTCCCTATACATCTTTCGTGATCTTAAACCTACTTTCTAACCATATTCACAGTAAGTCCTTTCCAACAAAGATCTTGGTTAATCTGACTACTTGATATGATTCTCTGATTATTCCCTGGTTATAGCTTAGCTCTCTGAATAGAAAATGAGCTTTTAAAACACAAGGACTGAATTTCTACTTTATTAAGCTGGTCTTCTGTGTTTCAACAAATATACAGCAAGTGTTTTTAAAGGGCCTCAATAGTTTATGAATGGGAACACACAGCCACCAAAAACAAAGCAAAACAAAACACCAGGCTGTAGTGTGTACACCAGTAGTAAACAACAAAATCGAAACCACCAAATCACTGCTCTGTAACCTGCTAACTTGACCAAACCAAGTAAGACACCCAATTAAATACCTAGGCTTCCTTGAAGATCAAAGAAACCAAATGAGGGCTGGGGATGTGGCTCAAGTGATAGCGCGCTCGCCTGGCATGCGTGCGGCCCGGGTTTGATCCTCAGCACCACATACAAAGATGTTGTGTCCGGCGATAACTAAAAAATAAATATTAAAAA